TTACTATAAAAACATATGAGTAGGTCACAACCCATATATTAAATTTACTATAGATCAGTACCATTTCGATACCAGTTAATAATATTAGTTCGGTACTTTTTCGGAACCCTAGGCATACTTGGAGATTCAAGGCCACTTTATAGGAGTTGTACCCTGCTTGGTATTTGTACTCCTAGATTTGGCAGCCTAAGCTAACTAAGAGCCTATAGAGTGTTCGCTGGAGGATTTAGGAGTTGTGTTCCATTAGGTCTGATGGTCTCCAGGTTTGGCAATCTGTGCCAACTATAGGAATAATTCTTGAAGCATTTACTAAAAAGTGTAAAGCAGTAAAATCCGTGATATCCGGGTATGTAAGTCATAGGGTAAAGTGATAGAAGACCCCAGTGATAATCAATACAGGCAAAAAGCAAAAAACAAAAGTCCTTTGTAGTTCATGCTCAAGTATGAACCTACCTCCTTGGTATAAGTTAATACTCAGGTTAGAAAAGTTGCAATAGGTTAGGATTAACTTACTCATGTAAAGATCTTTAATGTAATGGCTATAAACTTTCATTTAATAAAAAGTCTTGCATTTAATGCCTATTTGCAAAAAAAAAAAAAAAAAAATACTATAAGATAATATATTAATTCATAAGTATAGACTTGTAAAAGAAATCAGGTCTGAGCTTGAAATTACAACCATAGAATGACTGCCATAATCACCAGACCTTAGTCCAATTGAAAATGTATGGAGAGAGGTCAAGGCATGGATTTATAAGAACCAAAAACTATGTAACATATCTGGCTGTTATTTGTTATTGTAGTATGGAATATTATCGAATTTAAGAAGATCCTCTACTTTATAGACTCAATGCCTGATCATGTGAAAGAAGTGATATGCACAAATAATTTTGTTACCGTAAATTTTTAAAAAATTTTGAAAACATTTTTTTTTTATGATAAATAATTCCTTTCGATGACAGTACATATTTTCATTAAAAAATTCATATGTCGAACACGTGTTTCCATTAGGGGTTATCTTTTAAATATAAAAATTCCGACTTCATACGCTTTCAAATTGCCTTCAAATATACCATTCTCAATGAAAACTTGACTTTCTTTCTCGCGATCCGTCTCGCCAACTCCATATAGAAAACCATAGGAGATCAAATCCTTAATAGTTATTTTAATTTTAAGAAATTCTTCACTACCACTGACCATAATCAACAAAAAGGTCTTTTGATCTCCCGATATCCATCCACCAACATTAATATTACAATCAGGTGAGATTATTATATGAGAAGGCGGCAATTGTGACATTGAAAGCATATAATCTGAAAGATCTTTAGTTCTTTTGCTCAGAGTTGTAATTTGATCATTGATTGAATGCTCGAGAATAAAAGGAAATCGCCAAAACATGAGTCCCTACACATAGGTTTTAACGTTAACCAAGCCCACTAATTAAATAGAAACCAATCCCATAAAAGATACCTTATATCCGGATATTATTGAGATGTACCACATGGCTCTTATTTCATGAAGAGTTGGTGATCTCTCCCACCAAGAATTTTGGTCATAAAAAGCTTGAAGCACCATCCATTTCACAATTAATTCACGCCCAATGAGATTCAAATCTGCCATGTATTTTTTAGTTCGTTTAGGGATATCGATGGAGAAATTTCCAACACAATTATCACAGCCACACACACCACTATATTCAGTACAGTGGTATGTATTGATACCAACCGGATAGACATCTAACAAAATATCAATAAAGATTTTCACATAAGAATATTATTAACCCTTGGGGGATAGATGAACACGTACCAGTGATTAATATATCAGTACTATCCGCATAGAATGCGGAACTATGTTGGCAGTTTAACACCAGAGCAGCAGGGTGATACGGATCTACTCTTTTTATAACTTCATATGCTTCAAAAACTGCCGAAGTATTTATCCATTGTTCACCATCTGGTTCGTCTGCCTAAAATTGGCACATAAGAGATAAGTTGTTTACTGTAAATAACTATAAATTCAAACGACTGATATCGACAGAACTTACTATATACCACGTAAGTAAACTTGAATAATTCTTAAATTGGTTTACTTGGTCGATAACTTTTTGAGTATCAGTATAATCATGTCGAAATGAATATTGAATATAGAGTTCGCCTATTGCGTCAGCAGCTTGAAACATTTGATGAATGAATGAAATGTTTGGGTAGGGGGGGTCGGGGTTGATGATATTGTAATTCAGGTCCTTAAGGGTTTGGAGATTGGCTCGAATATTCCCTATTCCGATAAACATGATTTACTGACTCCCCAATTATGACGAAATGCAAAAGATTATACCTTTTGCCAGCCATCCACCAACATCAACATATGGGCCGACGGGGAAAATAGTTTTATTTGTTGAAGTAAAAATTCCACCGTATAGCCGATCGACCTTGACGGTCTTTGGGCCTAATAATTAACGATAATGTTTTTTCAGAAAAAATCTGCGTTAATCACGAATGATGAACGGGAAAATGACCTGCGGGAAGACGATAAAGTTTTGAATATGTAGTATGAAGCGATATGTCATCGTCCTCAGTATGAAATGAAATTTCAACATCATACGCCTTCAATTTTGGTACGATCTTTGCAATTGAAAAGGGCACTTCGATCACATTTTCTTCAATGTTGATTCTAGTTGCCGCAAGTATTTCCGTTCCATCATCCAATGAAGCTTTGACAGCAATATCCGGAGTAGTGTTGGTCACAGTAACCAACAATGAACCAATCGAATCAGTACTCAGATAAGGTTGATTACGAAACGTAGCAGTGTATCCATTGCTCAGATTCGGTACGATAGGGATTGGCTCGCATGTTGGCGGAAGTCTAATTGTTGAAGGTTTCACTGATGAAAAAGAATCATTACCATTTTCTGTCGAGTCAAGTGTTGCTCTTTTGCTGCATTGATTAATGTCTCGCCTCAATTTTTGAATATTTTTGAATAATTTATTTTTCGGAATATAAGGCTTGCCGCACCAATATTTTGCTACAGACGGATATTCTGTTTGGACCCTGGAACACAATAGAAAAAGTATGACAAAAAGCAAAAGCAGAATATTGAAGTCGATTTTCATTTTCGGCGTAAAAATTCATTAATTTCAAACGGTTTTATTTTTTTTACTTTCTATTGAGCTATGTGCAAGCTCAAAATTATTTTCTTATTCTTCTTGAAAACAATAACCTAACCATTTTAAGAAGCGCAGAAATTTATTATTTAAAAATAGTGATCAAAAAAAATTTTTTTTATAAAATAAAAGTTTTGTGAAGGGGTTGTTCAAGCAAATAAAACATTGTAAAATGCAAAATATAAGATATTTATTGATTACAAGTACAAAAGATGTTTGATATTTCAAAAGTAATTATTTATTTTTGATAATTTCTAAAAATGTACTTTTAAGAACTAAACTATTTGCAGACTATCATTCATAAACAGTACTGGAAAATTTCTCGAAGATCTATAAAACCGACTGCAGATTTGTTAATGTACTTATTTACCAAGGCCCTTAATCTGGTAAATTGAGAGTGAACCGAATCATCTTTTTTTTCTTTAAAATAATAATAATAATAATAATAAATTAGGAAAAAAATTTTTCTAAATGATCTAAATTCGGTGCTAAGTACTTACCATCATTCGGCGAAATTCTTATTTTATCAACGTCAAATAAATGTGAATAGTAAAGCAATTGCGAATGCAGCATAGATTCTGAATACTGGGTAATTGGAGAATCACATATTAATATTTTAGTTAATCATAATATATATACTGTTTCAAAGTTTTATTACCTCATTTATCATTACTCCATAACATCCATGAATAATACATTTTCTTTTCGCAGTGATCATCCTTGTTCGATACCCACACCCTTTTTCTTCGCACACAAGCCAACCGTCATAATATCTTTTTATGTGCGATCGAATGTTACATGTAAGTTGAGTCAATATTGATGGTAGAGGAAGAACTTTTTTGCAATCAACATTTCCGCAGATGATTCCTGACGCATCGAGTTGATGTCCCTGTAATCAATATGATAATTAATCAGAGTCAATATAACAGTAATGTCAAAGATCTGTTGTAATCATCCTTACAGATTTTGTTCCATCATAAATGGATGATTGCTTGCACGTAGTACATTTTAAATTAAATTTGTCAACATTTTTAAAACGCTCTTCATTGGAAATTCGCGATTCAAAAGTGCGGAAAGTAGACGGGGTGTTCGAAGATCTGGATGAATCGATACCTATACAATAAAGCCAAATTTAGTGGTTTTCTATGAAAAGATTATCAATAGGAGAAATGCTCACCTAGACAATCCGCAATACGCGCACCATCTGTTCCATCAATAGGTTCAATTAATCTAGTAACCGAGGCATGTACTTGTTGTGTTAAGTACCACTCAGAATCTTTGGTTTTTCAAACAAAAAACTCAATAAGTAATAGGTTTGGGAACAGAGCTATCACAAAATGGTTTCCTTATAGAGAACACACCGATTTGTAAATTGGCATCGTGACGAATTTCGTCTGGGTGAAATGCTTTTTCGAAAAGACTATTGGAAGCGCTTCCTTCTTCAATCTTCTTGCATATGATATATGGGATTGTATCCCCTTGTCGCGCGCTGAGTCCTCTTTTTTTCATTCGTAATGCAACCTGTACATGTGGCTGACTTTTTGCGTCAGGATAATCTTCGGGTGCTTTCGCGAGAACCTAAGCGCAGGTATAAATAATCAATATATATTTGTATATATAACGTACATATAAAAATTACGTTATACAACCTTGTGAATAATGAATTTGTTAATCGGAAATTTTCCTGATCGTACATCACGTCCCAATTTTGACATATATTCATGTATGTTTCCTAAAACAACTTCTCGATCAAATTCAGATAAAATTTGATCCAAAACATAACTAAAACGACATTGATGCATTATTAATCATATAAAATAGTCAACGCCCTTGCAAATAAATAATTACATAATATTTCACTTACTGTGAGGCATCTATAACCAGTTCACACCAATCGCGCCTAACTAAATCAAGACCTTTTGTTTCAGGGACACGACTTTTCATTCTACCAGTAACCTCGTCTATTTCTAATTTTATTGCGGCATATTTTTTCTTTTTGAGGAGTAAAAGTTTCTCAAAGAAACCTTCTATTTCAATCTCGATCAACTTGTAACGTTCATTCACTTTCCTCCTCAGTATCCTTCCTACTTCCATAGCTTCTTTTATTTCTGACGCGTTAGTACATATCATAATAGAATCTGTGTCACCATATATAACCTAGATAATAATATATTTAGTTCATAAGCTTAAGGTATTAATTTATTGAATTATAAGCGTCATTCCATAAGTGTTCATGTACCTGCATGTTTTCATTTTCCGCCAATTCAACAGTATTTTGCAAAATTTCTCTGCCTTTTGACGTAATTAACATGGCTAAAGGCTTTGCGTAAAATCTAGAAAATTTGGTTCCTAAGCAACCGTACATACTATTCGCTGTGAGTTTAAGAGCTCTCTGGCGTACATCATACTATGATATCCAATAAGGTGAAAAATAAACAAATAAATAAAATAAACGATGTTTATTTAACATAATTCGGCCTACTCGTGTTTTCTTACTTGATCACGCTCACTGGTAGAAATATTGGGATCATTCATACATTTCTTGACCTGTCTTCTTCTCTCAACAAAATTTGCAATTAATTTAGGAAGAACTCCTTGACTCTCATCAGCATCTGGAACCTCTGGAACTTGATCTTCACTTCTCTAAATTGATTTTCTGACCAAATTAATAGACATGTAATCACGAAATAATTTCACTGATGATCTTGGGAAAACTTACCGGCCCGGTTCGTGCAACAGTAGTAAAACAAATGTTGTATTCCTGTATAATTGACGGATATAAACTGTTGAAATCCAATAACACGACAAATTTATCATAGAATCCGGACTTCGGATCTAATACAAGACCACCAGCATAGGTTGATTTTTTTCGTGTTCCTTTTATATTTTCATCTATCATAAAATGCTATAAGTCAGTCCCAGATTTGATGCTTCCGTCGAACAGTAATTTTACAAGAGTACCATACCCTCGTCTTCATCTCCCATAATAGCCTTTGATTTTGATTTGTGTGAATATTTGTCCGGGCAAATATATTTGAGCTTATGGAATTCATGTAGTAAAAGATAGTCATTACGATTTGCTCTAGCTCCATTAAGAGTTTTAGACCTGAAGTACAATACATTATCGTTATTAATGGTCATATTAAAAATATAGTAAACTTATTAAATATAAGACGAACTACAATTACACACCAGACGTTACCGGATAAATTTGTTAGTTGTTTGGTTAGCGGAAGTAGCTGAAGCTTAAACATTAGCTCTGAAGTGAGAATAGAGTCATAACGACAGTGGAGTATCATATCGTACAAAGCTTCGGCTGAATCATAATTGGAAGCAATTCTTTCATAATCAACATCTTTCCTAGTTACTTTCAGATGTGATGAGACGAGTTCCGTCAATGAGAAGTTTTTGGATTTAATGAATTCCTAAGTGAAACTTATTGTTAGCATATAGATTAAATTTATGAAAATTCCTTCGGACGAATTTTCACCTTCGCCGATTGATATGTGTCGCAAATCAATCTACCGCTTACGATGTCCCTTTCCACAAATGAAGAAGAAAAGTCATCCTTACTATTTCCAACATGGAGTAGCGGAAACCTTTAATGTCATGCAAGAATTACATCGTTAAGTTCATTTTATAAATTATACTTCAATGATTAGTGTACAGAGCGTATTTACGTTTGTCTGTGAAGCCTTCCAAGCGAAGACCAATCTTTTATCTTTAGCATCTTCATGCGATGTAATAAAACATCCAAGTCAAATCCGATAAAATTATGCCCAACAATAACATCAGGATCATTCTGTTTTAAGATAGCTAGTAATAATATTTAAAGGAACGTTTTGCACTGAGATATCTTGACTTTAGAAGAAACCAAATATACTGTACAAACCTAATAATCGGTTTAGTAAAGAAAATTCTGTTTTTTCCAGTGTTAGGTGCAATTGATTTTTCCTTTTTTTCACCATTTCTTCGAATTTAATTGGCCACCACGGCTTATCGTTTAATTGGCGAACAGAAGTAAATTGATTACTCTGAAGATTCATAGCCGAGATTGGTCCATCCAAAAAAACTGTAATTCGAAATTAATACAAACGTGATAATTGGAAATTGAATTATCCGTATAATGTAAACATATATTCACCTTTCGAGTAAACTCGCGCACTGAACGCCACTATCTCATTAACGTGTTTCTGGTGATTCATCACGGTACGCAGGCTCAATGACATGATCCTCAACGGTGGAGGCTTTAATGGCTCCAACAAATCTACTTCACTCACTGGATTTATACACTTAGGATTTTCAACAGTCAGTTCGACTTTGCACCAGGAAATCTAAATATTTAGATATTGAATCATGTCACGGATACAATTAATCATTCGGTAAGTCAAGAAACAAGATATTAAACAATGTAATTTACCTTTTTCTGTTCGATCTGAGCATTTTTGATCTCCAACCAGCACGGACCCCTAATTTTTCTCTTGACCAAAAACAATTCAAGAGCAGAAGACTGTGTCCCAAAAACGTGACTGAATGTTTTTCCGCTCAAGTCAGTTGGTAAATATTGGGCTAAAAGTATTAAACATTTTTAGTATTCAATCGTCTAATTGTCATCATTCTCAATTTGATAGGACATTCCACTCGCCTTCAAAAGAATATAAGACTTTCAAATAATCTGATTGCACTGGGATGCCTGGCAATTCAAAGGCGTACTTTCGAGTCACATTCTTCGCTTCAATCTTCGAAATTTTGTACTGTTCTCTGATTTTTTCAACTTCTTCAAAAACGTCTATAAATTGGACTTCGATTTCCGTTTCATTACCTTGGTCTAAACAAAACGGATCGTTAACTTCATGATATAAGGAAAATTTACTTGAACATAGAATATATTAAAATGAGGCTAACCGTCAAGTTTGAACCTTCTTGGTAAAAAGAAGACATTTCGTTTAATGCCACGTACGATTACACAGCAACTTACGTACAAACTACTGTTTTTATCAAATATCTAATAATTATAAAATCAAAATTCATGATTCAGAAATTCTTCTCTACATTGAAGAAGCAACAGAAACGAAAACAAACCTTTCCGAATAAATAAACAATTCCCTGTTTTTCATATGCGTCAATCCAGTAAAATTTAGTGCTATCACCAGTATTGGTATCATTATCGATTTCCTGATCTTTCTGAGGATTAATGCTATCGGTATTCATGTCATCATTAATGTGGGCATAATCAGTATACATAATTTCTTCATCTGTGAAACGATTTGAGTTTTGTTGATTGTTGTGAACTAATTCTATATGATCAGTTCTCTTAGGAACGATTTTCTCGCTCACAGAATGTTGACTTGAATGAGAATAAGAATCGTTGTGATTATGAGTAATTCGTGTTTCTTGATCTTTTGGATTAATAGCATTAACTTTCGTGACATCCATAACGTGAACGTGGTTGTCGCATTCAATTTCAGCACCTGAAAACCAATCTATATCCTGATAATTGTCGTTAACTAACTCCATAGGACTAGTTTCCGTTAGAGCAGTTTTCTCGTCTATCGAAGGCTGACCAAAATGCATATTATTATCTTCTGTTGAATAATTTTGGTCGCTTAAATCATTCATAATAATATCGCTGATTTGCGATGATATTCCGACTTCGTACTCCTTATAAGTGTCATGGCTATATGTAGTTGGTATCTGCATGACATCTAGATCTTGATCGCCTGTTTCGTCATCTAATTCTTGCAAAAGACTTGTCATAAAGGCTCTTTCTTCTTCCGTTGTCTTAACCTGCGAGCAGTTAGATGGTAGTAAATATTCATTCATCACACTGTATAATATACTATAGGTGGTTCATACCGTCTTTGGTTTTAATAATTGTGTGGCTGCTCGTTGAAAGAAATTATTGATCCGTTGTTCTGGCTTAACTAGATTGGATGATTTCTCTTCTATTTTCCTTGTTCTTTTCCTTTTCCCTGCAAATTGTAATTTTATTTTTAATTAAGTGAGCTTAAACAACATTAAAAGTAATTAAAATAGTTTCTCAGACCATCTTTTGTTGGAGATTCATCATAGTCTGATTCTAATTCCGATTCTTCTGAATATTCTTTTCCCAAATCATCTTCCGCATATAAATGGGCCTTTCCATCATCATCCTCGATAAAATCATTTGTTTTCAACTCTTCACGAATATGAGATTGATATTCTTCTTCGTTCACCTCTATATAAATCGCGTCTTCCTCTTTGACCTAGTAATAAGAAAAAATAGTAAATGAATTCAATAATATCAGCAAAATAAACCAGAAATAAGCATCACCTCATATTCCATTAAACGAGATCCTCCAGTTTCTCGCAACCGCCGGAGGGTATCGAAGGTAGAGGTGTCCTTGACTGTTGCACGCCGTTTTTGCAAATGTACGGACATTTTTTTAAAAAAAAGGCTTCGGAAAAAAATTCCTGCAAATTATTAACAAACATTACATTAACTTCTGCTGACTGTTTTTAAGGCGACTACTGAGGTCTGAACTAATTATGTACTTACGTTATTATGAAGATATTAGGTTCAAGCACCTAGGAGAACTTTTTAATACGATTTTGACGCGAATTACGTCAGATCTAATTGTAATGATCATCATCTCAATATACGTGCATTAATGCAATTTTCAATGTGCCGAAATATACTGTAGGTTTCGGATCTTTAAATATGTCCAAAAATGCAAAATTTAAAAATTTAAAATTGAAGTTGATTCTTTCAATAATTGGAATGTTTATATCAACCTCTGATACTGAAATCAAAATATATGTTAATACTATTTTAAACAAATTTGGAAGATGATTTTTTTATTTTTTATCAATTTTTTTATTTAATTTACAATAAATTTTCTATTCAAATAAAATAATAATTTTATAATTTTAAATTTTATAATTTTAAATTTTGTAATTTTATTAAATTTTTGAATATTATAAATTGTAAATTAAAACATTAAATAGCTTTAATAATAGTAATGCAGAATGATAATTAATATAACAAATTAACTTACAATTTATTATTTGCATTAAAAAATTTGTTAAAAAAATTCCAGTGATTTTTGCTTTTAGAAGGTTTTTGGAAAAATATTTTAAAAACTTTTAAATTTCTTTATATTAAAATAATTTGAAAATCTCCAAAGTAAATATAATATATAATTTTTAAATATTATTTTAAAACACTAAAAAATATTTTTAACTAAATAATTGTTAATATAATATTTATAATAGTATTTTTTTTATATTTAATAAATATAAAATAATTTTTATATATATTTTAAACTTTATAATTTTATTATTAAATTTAAGAATTTTTTTAATAATCAATAAAAATATTCAAAAATAATTTTTTATATAATAAATCAAATATAATTTTAATTGGTTTTATTTTATAAAAATTTTTATATTTAAATTTTATAAAATTGAATTAAATATCTATAAATTAATAACATAATAAATACCATATATCACTGTATACAATACTCCCTTCAAATACTACCCCCCTATTAATAATATCAGGTAGTATTCAAGAAAATTGTTGCTTGCACTAGTCCAAATTGGATTATTTGGCTGCCGAATTACAGCCGATTAAATCCAAATTTATTAATAAAAGTTTATACCAAAGTTTTGTT